GGCGCCGAGCCTGTCCTTATGTTCTTTAAATGGAATATGAAAATGAGTTCCATAAGATATGGCTGTCCCTCACTACGGTCTTCTAAACATAACATAAAACACAGAAATAAGAGCATTAAACACAAAAATGTAAACCAACAGGAGGAAAAATTGGAGGTTTTTAAAGGAATTATGTATGTAGTTTTAAAAGAGTTACATAAAAGTTTTTCATGTTCTTTGCCCCTGCACAATTCAAATATAAGAAGAAAACAGGGGTGAAGTATAAAAGAAAGTAGGTGATAAAAGGTGAGGCACGTTGCCAGCAGAGGGCTCAAGGAGGATAGGATGGAACCTGCACATCTCCCAGCTAACAAAGTTCTAACCTTCCCAGTTACCTTCCAGGCTAGGCTCACTTCTGCCAAATCCACGTTATTAAAAAGTGAGAAGGCTGGGGTGGTGCCTGTGACTCAAAGGAGTACGGCGCCAGCACCATATACTGGAGGTGGCGGGTTCAAACCCGGCCCCAGCCAAAAACCGCAAAAAAACCCAAGGCGGCTAAAAAGTTGGTAAGATAAAAGGAAGCATGGCCTTTTATCTTTCGTCAGTTCACTTTTGTAGTAAGAAGAAAACCTTACCTCGATTTTTTTCAACACATCTGAAGGATTAATGAGCGGAGTGCCTTTGCCTCTATCTTTTGCCTGTTTGGAGTTTGGGCCTGCTGAAGTAAAACCACCAGTTAACACATTTTTCTGTAACGACAACTGTGTGCTATATTTCTTTGTCTTTCATACGCTGTCTAGCATAGGGGTACATCATAGGAGGCAGTCACATAATTTCCAGAGTGAATTAATTTTCTCAAAGAACAAATAAAATAAATCATCACAGGTCATCATGAAGAACCAATAACAATCCCTTACAAGGAGATTATAAAACTGTAACCAGATTATATTTTTACTGGTATTGAAAATTTATTTTGGCAATTTTAGGGCCAAAATTGCTACAATGCTACCTTAGAAGTCCTGGGGTATAGGAAAGGCTCCCATAATTCATGTGTATTAGCTGCCTAGTCACTGATGACTGAATTTCATTTTAAGTGAAGCAGTTTTACCAGGTTTGGAAAATAAAAAGGGAAGTGCAGGATAAACAGGCACTTGCCAGTGGCGAAAGAAATGAGAAAAAACTCATACCCAGGGTAACACAGACTGTCTTTGGAATGATTAAAACAGTTAAACTATATACACCCATCATATGAATCTGAAAACTCAAAACACGTAAAAGAAAACAATGTTTTAACAGCTTTGAGATATATAATTTTTTAAACTCACATAAAAAATATTGCTTTATGAGGCTGTTCTGAAACGGAAAGTTCTAGAGTATTTCACATACCACGTCTGCTAGTAAGTTACCAAAGGACTATGATATGCTACAAAATTGTACCATCAGGATCAGAAAGTATTACAGTTCTGACCAAAATACCTCGAAATTACTTGGTAAGAGGAAAATACAGCTCAGAAGATGTAATTTTGCTGAAGATTAACATTTGACTATAGAAGAGGAAATTTTTAGATTGTGCTGGCTACCCCTTAATTGATGGAATTGCAGTCAACTGTGTCACACCAAATTGCCTCTTGGTCCCTGAGCTTACTGAGAGCTTCCAAAGGTGCACATTAGTGAGGTTTTGTTAAAAAAAAAAAGTAAAAGATTTAATAATGGGTAACTTCCTCTGACCTTGAGGGCAAAGACTGGTTAATATGGTCTGTAGGACATAAAATAAAGCATCATATATGAATAAGATCTTGATAAATACTGTAATACAGATGCTAAAAACATTAGTGGAGAATGTATTTTACTCACATTGTGAAGTTTTTTTCTCAATGGACTTTTTATCAAATTATGTATCTCCATAATATATAAATCCCATATAAATGGGTACTATAAAATTGGTCAGGTATATAAGCTTACTAAAAATTTCTAAGTTTTAGCCAAAAAGGTCAGTTGAAGACTCAGGTACACTCAGCATTATTTGCTAGTGATCATTCTGGTTTTACATAGTATCTGATCCTTATATATGTAATTAGGGAAGGTGTCAAATTATCAAAATTAATTTGTTTTAACCTCAAAATTATAACATACTTTTTCCCCCCCATCTTTAGCCAAATATTTGCATGTACTGTATTTGAAATTTTTGTTTGTTTCTTTCCTTCAACACCTGCTGAAAGCTGGTTCTTCAAGAAACAACCATCTCACCAGGTGTGGCTGCTCACACCTATAATCCCAGTACTTTGGGAAGCCAGGTGCATTGTCTGAGCTCAGAAGTTCCAGACCAGCCTGAGCAAGAGCGAGACCCGGTCTCTAAAAAACAGTCAGGGATTGTGGTAGGTGCCTGTAGTCCCAGCTACTTGGAAGGCTAAGGCAAGAGGATCACTTGAACCCAAGAGTCTGAGGTTGCTGTTAGCTATGACACCATAGCATTCTACCCAGGGTGACAAAGTGAGACTGTCTCAAAAAAAAAAAAAAAAAAAACAAACAAAAAAAGGAACAACCATCTTTAACTTTCCACTCTCTTGGTATTATTTACTGTCATGAAAACCAATGAAGACCATCTCAACAAAAGGGAGAAAATAAAAATATCAGCAACACAAAAATTACAAAAGAGGCAATAAAAAACATTAGGGCAGGCTCGGTGCCTGTGGCTCAAGCGGCTAAGGCACCAGCAACATACACCAGAGGTGGTGGGTTCGAATCCAGCCCGGGCCCGCCAAACAACAATGATGGCTGCAAGCAAAAAATAGCCAGGCGTTGTGGTGGGCACCTGTAGCCTCAGCTACTTGGGAGGCAGAGGCAGGAGAATCTCTTGAGCCCAGGAGTTGGAGGTTGCTGTGAGCTGTGATGCCACAGCACTCTACCCAGGGTGACAGCTTGAGGCTCTGTCTCAAAAAACAAAAAATCTCCAAAACATTAGGGCAAAATGGAAAAAGAAAGTTTTGTTGTTTTGTTTTTTTAACAAATGGGAATCCTGATGGAATGAAAGCTTTTATTAATGTATGTAAGAAGCCTCAGTAATGAGCAGCTTGAGGATCTATCTGAAAATATTACTTCTTCCAAAATAAATACATTCCTTTTAGCTTTAAAGGAAGCTACAGATCTGGGAACTCCTAGCATAGTGATTTTCAGTGCCATGAGAGAATCTTAGGTGTGCCTTGAAAATATTTTTTTAAGATGCTAATTAAATTATTTACCAAAGAAGTTCAAAGCACAGTAAGTATATTCTTTCCTTTACTCTTTTTTATGATAAACGTAAGTTAAGTGTGCTGTGGAAGTTTAACTACAGGTTCAAGTGTGCCCTGAGATAAAAAAAGGTCGAAAAACAGTGCCCTAGGCTATGACCAGTATTATTCATATACATGCATTTTATTATGAAAATAATGGGTTTGCCCAATATAAACCAACGGTATAAAAGGACATAAATCGTCATATCTCAAAATAGTCTATGTTCAAACTAAATATTAGTATATACTATATCTTTAATATAAAAATACTTCCACATTAAATATATATGCTCAAACTTAAATCATAATGTACCTCAAATATGTGTACTTTACTATGTATCAATTATACTTCAATAAAGCAGCTAGAAAGGGGAATGGGAATTTCTTCTCTTCTCTTAGTGGCCAACCCCATTGTTCTCAACCTCTCTGGATACTTCCCTTTTTCTCTCTTCATTTCTCAAAGCAAAATTATCTACAAATGCATCCATGCTAGTTGTCTCCACTTGAGTTCCCAGTAACTGCTTGAATCTGGATTCTACTTCCACAAATCTTTTGACAAGCTTTCTCTGAGGTCATCGATTACAGACATGTTTAAAAAATTAGTTAACATTCTTCAATTTTCATCTTACCTGACGTCTCAGCAGCACTGCTGACTCTTCCCTTCTGAACATTCCTTCTGTAACTCCCCGTCCCGGCTCTCCTCCTTCCTCTCCCTTGCGCTTCCTTCCTTCACTGATTCAGTCTCCTCTACCAGTCATTAAACGCGGGCTGGCCTTCCTCCAAGCTCAGGCTGGTGCCCTCCTTTCCTCCACTTCTCTAACTCCACCCTAGCCAGCCTCACCCTTTCGCAGGATCTGAATCATCACCTCTCTGCTGATGACAACCATTTCCATTCTGAAATCCTTTCCCAGTATCCAACAACATACTCGACGTTTGTAAATTTCCAAGGAATCCTAAAGATGTTAGGACTGCACTTATGATTTTTCCTGACAAGCCTAATCTTTCTCTAATTTCCCTCATCCACTTCACTTTAGTAAATTCTTACTAATCCTTCAATTTCAACTACGATTCCAGTCCTCAAGAAAACCCTTCCCAGATCTCTCAATGAGAACAACTGTGTTTTGACTCCACTCGGCTGCAAGCTCCACGAAGGCAAGAATTATTCACACTCTGCCCACAGCTTTATTCCCTTCAGGACAGCGTCAGGCAATAGTTGATACCCAATTATTTATTGAATGGAATTAATGAAGAAAAACAAAATGTAAACATTCACTTTGCCATCTTTCCATACAACCTAAAGCTCTATTTTACCAGTTTCCCAATTTTAAAATGTTTTAATTAACAACTTAGAATGTAGCCAGTATGATCATAAAAAGTTTGCAGATATGCAAATAAAAAGATCCACAGAACTGGAAAGTCTTTCCTAGCACAGCCACAATGTCACAATAAAAAACAGGACAACTAAACGAGCAAACAAAAAACCAAAAAATCAACGAAAAACCTGCCACACTTTAGCAAAATAGTCAAAATGTCAAAATAGTTTAAGAAAAAGCATTCAGAACAGATGGCATAACTTCGGGTTGCAAATTCCATGTTAATAGAATGTAAGCAATAACCTTTCCTACCTGAATTATTATTACATTAGTCAATGTACCTTTTTTGCATTTTTTCCTTGGCATCAACTCTCTTGGAAGTCTTCTCCAATCTATGTGTATGAAAGAAAAAAACAAAAATTGCAGTTTCACTAGGAATCAGTGGCACCGGACATAACTATGTAAAGAACCCAAAGACAGCAGTCCATGCAAGACATAAAATCTCTTAATATGTGACTGTATAGATTTAGCCTGAAATATAACAAAATAAAACATAAATATAACAAGACAGTGATATATTTTCTCTTACAAAGATAGATAGTTCATTAAGATAACTTTGGAATAGTGTTATAAAATTTGCTGGGAACAAAATCTTATAGTAGTTCTTTGTGGGTGTTAGAATAACTGTTTTTTTTTTAATTATTTACTTAATTGACTATGTTATATAAGTTTATGGAGTTGATAAGTATTTCTTTTGCAATGAAGAACTTTTTTCAAAGGGTAAAGTATGGTATCTCAACATACCCAAAATGAAAAAATAAAAACATTCCTAATAACTATCTGAAACTTTAAAATTAAAAACATAAATAGCTATGGAGAAATGAATTCCCTCCAATAGGGAATTGTGTTTTTGCTTAATGTGCTTTGCCTGTGTTATCTAAGTAATTTCTCTAATTGTTCATTCTCTTCTGATTTTTACGCAGTTAAGCAGAAAGCTGAAGCAACATAAAATTAGGTTAAAAAATACTGCCTCCTAAATAAAGAACTGTGCAAAACATCCATACCTCAAGTCATTTTACCAGAACTAAAAAATTTTGTTTTGAATCTATTTTACTTTTATAAACTACTCATTGAAGATTATGTGATAGTATGTAAAGAGAATCATTTGAGAGATTAATGAAGTGGAAAAGATGAGAGACTCTAAAAGATGTTTTCGGGGGGCCCCAAACTTATCAATGATCAATGATGAAAAGACAAGAGTCCAACCGTGAAAGCGACATCCTGTCAATGCCATGTGCGCTGCTGCTACATAAGGGCAGTTTCTACATAACACCAAGGACTAGACCATAAAAGGAAAATGAATTAAAATGAGAGGGCTGCATTCTAATATGACTACTACTTTTTATTTACAAATTGAATAAGCTGGATGGGATCTCCTGGATAGCCCCTTCTACCTTGTCCATAACCAAGGTAGTAGGTTGAAAACAAAGCTCTCTTAGGCATGGCTCTGTTGAAAAGCTATCTTAACAAGTAAAAAAGGTCCACGTCTGCTTCAAAGTAAGGGAGATCGGCTGGGTGCCCATACACTGTGGTTACGGTGACAGCCACATATACCGAGGCTGGGGGGTTCGAACCTGGCCCGGGCAATCTAAACAATGACAAGTGCAGCAAAATATAGCCAGGCATTGTGGCAGGTGCCTATAGTTCCAGCTACTTGTGAGGCTGAGGCAAGAGAATTGCTTAAGCCCATGTGTTGGAGGTTGCTGTGAGTTATAATGCCACGGCATTCTAACAAGGGCGACAAAATGAGACGCTGTCTCAAAAAAAAAAAAAAAGAAAGAAAGGGAGATCCATGAGCCTGGCTTAAGAGATCATTAAAACTATAGCTCAGCACCTGTGGCTCAAGTGGCTAAGGCGCTAGCCATATACACCTGAGCTGGTGGGTTC